ACCTTTCTTAAGGAGATAAAAAACTGTCAGACAAACTTGTGCCTTCCGTAGCCCGAACTACGTTTGCTCTGATCTTTCATGCCGTATGAAAGTACGTAGGCACGAGATGCGACATCTCGGCGAGCAACCTTCTCCCCTTAACCCATAGTTAGGCGAACTACGTTGACTCTGATTTCTCGTTCCAGACGGGAATACGTAGGCATAAAGTGCGATACTTTTCCGAGTCATTTTATTTTCTTTTAACCCAGACCTTTAGAGTAGATAGAATAACACACCCTTAGATAGAAAACAAGCGTGGATCCCGTCGAGTACGACGGACGTGAGGGGTGCTAATACCTTCCCCTTGCGTAACCGACTCCCGAATCCAGGATTGGGTTACGATGACCATTCCTTTCCCTCTTTGCGTTAGGTTTATTCTGAGCGTTTCCTTTCCCTCTTGTGGGATAAATAACGCACGGTGGCGACTCTTCTGTCATAGCAGGCGCCGATTTTCGCAATAGCGACAACGATATCTTGAAACAAAATATAAATGGTTTTTTTATAGACAAGAAACGCACAATGGTTTGGGTTAACAAAGAAAACAAGGCAAAACAACAAGGATTGACTATAAACTGCTATTCTTTCCTTTCTCTATCAAACAAGAGTACAAGAATAACAAATAACCTCTCTCTCTTGAACTTTGATTTTATCTTCCTATTTTTTCTTATACAAGATGAGAGACTAACATGCTAATTATAAATGAAAATAGCACACTAACCTAATGGATTTTTTAACAATTACCCATTATAAGTTAACTTAGAGTACAAGTTAACTTAAACAATTAAGCTTACAAGCAAAACTCAATTTAACATGCTAACAAACCTAAAAATATTGACTAATGCATGTTAGAACAAACTTTGAGCACAACATACATTACTCCGACAACATACTAGAGATCCAATATCTCACATAAATATTATGTTTATTTTACAATTTTTTTATTGTATCCTATATATATCTAAAAAAAATAATGATTGCACCCTATTTATCTTCATGCGAAATTTTAAAAATATTTTTAATTTTTAAAAATATATTTTCGAACGCACCTTAATATACACATTTCATTTAATTTTAAATAGACTTCAATGTTAAAAAATATATGGCTTAATTGCAACTTTAATTTTCATATTGTGTGTTTCTTTAAATTTTGATTCTCCTATTTTAAAAATCATGTTTTTAGTCTCTTTTTTTTTTTAATTTTAATCCCCGGACCAATTTGGTAATATTTTTTGATGATGTGTCAATATAAAATCACAATTAATTTTTTCAGCTCATTATTAATTAAATTTCTAATGTCAATTCTTTTAAAAGTATTTCATTAATTAATAATAATAATAATATATAATTATAATAATCTTTTCCAAAACGTGTTCTTATTGTTTTCAGAAAACATGTTCTTCCCCAAAGAACTCCAAGCTTATCTCTCATCTTCTACTCATTCTCTTCTTCTTTACCAATAAAATAAACAGAAAATTACTTTTAATATTTTAAATCATTTAAATTAATTCTTATTTTCAATTTTAATTATTATTATGAATTAACCATGAATCTTGATTCACTTCAAAAGCTGTGAACATTAGCTTTTAATTAAACATGGAGTTACAGAGTTATTTTTGTAATGTATATCTAAGAGCTAGGCATGTACAAGAGTAAAATGTTAAAGCTTGCATACCCCACCAAAACATAAACAACAATCCTCTTTTTTTTAACACCCACATTTTGAGACCTAATCCTATTAACGACCACCATTCCATTAACATCTTTCAAAATATACAAAGGAAACCCAGACAAAGACTCAAAAATCACAACGTTAAATTTGTCTTGTTTCAAACTCAATTACAAATCATGTTTAAAAGCTCCATAGACGGAACAAAAACAATAAAAACAAGATCTTGAGGTAACATTTCAATCATCATTTCACCAAACTTACCCAAGTTAAAATATTGCAAATAAACTTTTCTAGATTTAGTAATTGGGTAAAACCCCATTTTCTGATGACTCTTGTTTTGAAGTGAACCCAGATTTAGGATTTCAACATGGGATTAGAGATTGAAGGCAATTGATATATAACTTTGAATTTAATTCATAATAATAATTAAAATTAAAAATAAGAATTAATTCTGAAGAAGAGAATGAGTACAAGATAGGGTATGGTTCTTTATTTTGGGAAGAACAATTTTCTGAGAAGAACAAGAAACATTTTGGGAAAGATTATTATAATTATATATTATTATTGATTATTAATTAATGAAATATTTTTAAAATAATTAACATTAAAAATTTAATAAATAATGAGTTGGATAAGTTAGTTATAATTTTACATTAATATATCATCAAAATTAGTGCCATGTCATAAAACATTATTCTCAAATTGATTCGCGGACAAAAATTTAAAATAAAACTTAAAAAAGAAATTAAAATGTAATTTTTTAAATAAGAGATCAAAACTAAAAAAAAAAATATGAAGACTAAAGTTACAATTAAGCCAAAATATATTTATTCTAAAAATATATTTTCAAAAAAATTCAAAAAAAAAAAAAAAAAAAAAAAAATATATATATATATATATATATATATATATATATATATATATATATATATATATATATATATATATATATATATATATATATATTCAAAAACAATAATTTTAACTATCACTACCTTACCTGGATACCTTATGTGATGCTAGACATTAATAATAATAATAATAATAATAATAATAATAATAATAATAATAATAATAATAATTATTATTATTATTATTATTATTATTATAATAATTACTTCTTAATTTTTTATTATTTGTTATATTTAAAGATTTTAATATTATTTATTGAATTCAATATATTATTAATTATAAATTAATTAAAAATATTTTAAAGTATTTACAAAAAATAAATAAAAATTTAAAAAAATAATTAAATTTACTTTTTGTATTATATTAATATGTATAAAAAGTATAAAATAAATAATATGTAAAAATAAGCCGAAGGAATAATTAATAGATACAAATAAGATAGTGCTAGCATCCACATAAATTGTTATTTCTGGAAATATATTTTTGAATTATATTCGGAGATATATTTTCAGAATAAATGTATTTATAAAATTAGGATTTGACTCAAAAACGAATGAAATATGTGTATTTGGATGCAGCCGGTGATATATCTCTGAAATTTTTGGAAATTTTTGAAATTTTGTGTGGTGCCTAAACGACATATAGAATGCAATAAGAAATTCTCTATTTCATATGCAACACCAAAACTCGTTTATAAACGAGACATGCCCCTACTTTTCTAAATATTGATTTAGAGATGTGTATTTTTTGGAATAACTCCTATAATTATTTAGTTAATTTAATGATTTTTTAAAATGGCAAAAAGATTAAAATACGTTAATAAAAAAGAGAACACTAGCACAAGATAGGCTAGGAAACAAAACACAACAAGAAGATCAAAGCCAAAATGACCCCACATAATACCATGCACCACTTTGGCCCTATAATGCAATACATCTACATTAGAAACATAATCCACCATAAAAGATAGAGGGATACAAAAAGAATAGAAGAAAAAACTGACCCTCCAAATCAAAGACATCTTCTGTCTACTGCTCTTTGTAGGACTGAGATTGACTAACTCGCAAGCATGAACGCACAATGTTGCCAACTAAAATTGTAGTATTGTGACTGAGCAATTGCAAAACCATTGAAAACCCACATAGCGCAATTCCTGCATCGCTCATACCTATTTGAGAGTTACTCTCAAACGGCACCAGAACCGAAAACGACCCACGCCTGAACTCGCACCATAGAATTCTAACAGGACAGGATTAAGCCGACTGCAGTCCAATCACACCACCAAAAAAAGGACCAGGACAAATTCTAAACATAGCACACCCTGGACCAAAAACCCATCAAAGAAAAAAACTGACACATGCCGGGACTGAAACTAACACGAACAGAAAACAGAAACAACACTTGAACCGACAAAATAGCTTGAAGACGACACTACAACGAATACAACAAACACCCGAGTGACGACGCCCACCTGATCAGAAGTGCAAAACGACAAGCTCAAAAAGTTAAATTTATGATTTTGTAATACATATGCAGGTGCTTAGCTCCACATGCTTGATGACAGTCCGTCATCGCATCTAATTAGTTGAAGAATCGGGGAGAAACGAGCAAAAGATGAGGCAAAATGGTGAAGAAAAACCCAAAAATGAGTGAAAAATAACAAAGTATGGAAGAATGAGACTGTAGCGGAAAAATATGATATTAAGGTATTTATTAACTTTACTCACAAAACAAGAGTCGACACCGCACTTTTATTTTATCCGAATGAAAGGGAAAAGAGCGAACAAAACCTAAAGAAGTTTAAAAACAAAAACTAATAAAAGCAGAGACGAAGCAAGAGGGTTGGTTACACAAAAGAAAGGTGTTAGAACTCAAAACATATATAGTACTCTATATGAACCTCTTTGAAAATCTAACGTTCGACTTAAAAGGTGTTGTTTGCAAAATATTGATGAGGTGAGAAGAGAAGTATTTTTTAATAATTTTGTGTTTGACTAGACTTTCTGAGTCTCGAGCCTACGTACCCAAAAAGTGAAATGGAGGATCAAAACCTCGTAGTTCATGGTAAAAATAACAAGAGAGATTTGTTTTGATTGATTTTAAATGAAAAGACAACTTGTCGTTTAAAGGAGAAAACTTCAATTAATCACCCACAAGTATGTGAAAGTGGACCTTTGCATCACCATAAGAAAGACTCCAACTTGGAAAAATCAACAAGTATGCCGCTAACTCTCTAAGGTAGAAAATAATCAACTCAATTCAAACAATACTATGGGGATAAAAGGATATATCTCAACTATAAATGACTCATGTCTAAACCTTATGAAAAGTTTTAAAAGCAAAAAGTGCACAAAACCCTAGAATTTGCAACCTGTTTCAG